CTGCGCAGAATTTCCGCCACGCATTGCGCTGGGAGTTCGACAGGATCTTGTTGTATTGCTTATTGCTTTCTCTAAGAGCGAGCCATGAAGCATCAGTTTTGATTCGACGAGCTGTGATGAGTTTGCGTCTTATACCCCTCTGTGCTTCCTCAACTTCTCGAGTTAGCCAGGGTGGTTTTCGGACAGCGCTGGAGATGTAAGTAATGGGACATGCCTCCTCGAAGGCCGTTCGGAGAGCAGTATTAATGGTGTTAACTTTGTGATCAATGTCGTGTGGTGTGTTAACGCATGTGTTGTGGAGATCATTGTTGTTGTAAAGAATCTCGTCAAATTTCGCCCAGTCAGTGTTCTTGACTAGGCGTATTTGTCTTGGTTCTTTTTTGGGACCAGAAGTAATGTCGAACATGATATATCTGTGATCGGAGTTTGAGTAAAGATCACTAACGTGCCAGTTACTGATCAGTTCAGCCCCCTGTTGGTTGGTGATAGTGAGGTCAATGATGGAATTATGACCTCGTGAGTTAAGGAATGTTGGTGTTGAACCTTTGTTGGAGCAGGAGAGCCCTAGCGACGAGAGGAAATCAAGGAGTTCCTCCCCCCTTCTATTGCACAACCTGTTTCCCCAAAGGGTATGTTGGGAATTAGTGTCCGAGCCTATAATAAGCGGTATGTTGTTGTCAATAGCATATTTGGCTAGGGGTGTTGTTTCGTGTGATGGAGCTGGACCATTAATATCCATGTACGAAGCTGCCAGAATGACTTCTGATGAGCTAAGTTGAATTTTAATGGCTACTTGATCCGGGGTTGTGAATTGCGATAGTTCCCAGCTTTTTACAGCTAGGTTTTTGTGTATTACTATGGCGGCACGGGGTCTAATGTCCCCGGCTTTGTAGTAATACTCGGTTAGTTCTTTGCTAATAGGTGGGATAAGGTTTTTGTTATTGGTGTATGGTTCAGTCGCAAGTACAATAGGATTTTTCCTGCCGTGAGTGTTCACCAGCAGGGTTTTCCAAGCGTTGTACTTGCGTTTAAGGTTAATTTGTGTAACAGAGTAATATTCATAATGATTTTTACCTGTTATTTTCGTAGTTTTAGCGGTGGTTTTCCGGCGCTTTGCACCTCTCTGTGTCTTATTTCGTTGTTTGTTGGTGTTCTTGTTGTTGGTGTTTGGGTGGGTAGTGTTGGTTGGATTAGTATTGGTGTTGGGGGTAGTGAGGGTTGCATTAGTATTGGTGTTGGGGACATGGCGTGCAGCATCTGCAGATACCCTCACCGGACGAGTACTAGGACTTTTTGGGTCGGGCACTGTGTCGGGGGGCCGGCCGAAGACGAATAGCAGCAACCAACGTTTCTAGGAGAAAACTGTGTTTCTCTAAGAATGTCTCACCCGAGGGTGAGACATCCACCCATAGAGTGTACCGCTGCCAGTGTCTCTCTTTTCCAAACAAAAGGAAATGATATTAATTTGAGGAACAGTCCGCTAATGCAAATTGATACCGAGAATGAAATCGGTCGCTCGCTTTTTCCATCCGATCACGGCTCACGAATTGTAATAAAGCTTATTGATTTGAAAAAGCGAGCGACCGATTTCATTCTCGGTATCAATTTGCATTAGCGGACTGTTCCTCAAATTAATATCATTTCCTTTTGTTTGGAAAAGAGAGACACTGGCAGCGGTACACTCTACCCATGATTATGGGTTTTGGTCAAATTATATAATATTATTATATAATATTATTATATAATATTATTATAATTATTATTATTAAGAATTGACGATATATTATGATTTATTAATAAATTTTACAAATCTGGCTTTGGATTTAGGTAAAATTTTAATTTATTTTTAAAAACTACGGATAGTTTTTAATTTACTTTGTTGTATAACTATAAACAAAATAATCCTGTTTTCAAGAATGCGCGGCTTTGGCGGCCAGTTATTGATTTATACATAAATTGAACCTTAAATAGAAATGTGGATATATATATATTAAAATTTAAAACTTTCAAAACGGAGGTTTAAATATTATTATATTATGATTGTAAAATAAAGGATAACATTTTAAATTTGTTTCACTAAAAAATTTGTTTTATTAGCTTGATTCAGCTGCACCAAGTTGGAGTGTATCACTGTATCGACAAAAATTAAACGGGGAATTGTTTAGTTTAATTGTTAAATGTTTAAGTCACTTTCGAGGCACATCGACAAAAGCTTATTACGCTATTTTGCTTTTTCTTTTCACGGAGAAATAAGATAGTAGCATGTAATTTGAGCATGTTATTCTCTTTCAAAAGTATTCCAAGTGATTTTTATAAATATAATGCATATATTGAATCTGAAAAAAAATCTGAATTCGATTCATGAAGTTTAAAAGAAGTTACTGCAATGCGCGCAATTTGGGTAATGTGCTTTCGGTGCCTTTACATTATCACTCAATGTTTTATTTTTACACGGAAGGTACTGGGTATAAGGATTTTGTGAACCTTTCTGTATTGGTCCATTTCTTAATCGTGCACTTTTGTTTCCTCTGAGGAGCCCAGTATGAAAAGTTTATATATGCTGTATCGTATAGTAATAATAATATAATGACTTTAATTGATAAAATTGCAAAAGTAAATTTATCCAGTCTTAACACATGTGTCTAAACTGCATTTTTTTACTTACTTACTTACTTACATATTATGTTAACTTTCAGTGAAATTTTTCCAGTGTGAAAACGCTCATTATACAGTTATTTTGTATTTGTTACGTGACTAATCACATGTTATATATATGTTTCAGTCTTCACGTTTTCGATCGGGAATCGTCTTTAAATTATTTTGGGGAATATTTTGACTTGATATAACGACGTCGTCGTAATGTCACAAGTGACTGATCAACCACCTTATTTGATAGTGTTTTTAAAAAGAAAGTATTTATATTTTTAACTTGGGGTGTAAATATTTTTAGGGTTTTTATTTTATAATTTCAGATCTTTCATACTATATGTTACTAAAATGCTCATTGTAGCCTATAATATTTAGATTTTCATCATCATCACGTTGTAGGTCAATTTTGAAAATTAGTCTTAGATGTTTTCTGTGATTAATGTTGAGATGCTCCTATTTCACTGATTGTTTCTAACATTTTGCATCACTCAAGCTACCAAGGCATCATAAGGCTTAATGTTACCTTGATCTTTGTGTGAAGAGGATCTTAATTCCTTATTTGTTGAATGCAGCGTTTCCCAGACCTCACCTTTTGTGTATATTCCCTCGCTTGCAAGTAGTGTTCCCAGAAATTAACAAAAAGTTGGCGCCTTACAAATCCTCGTTATCTTAGAATTTTAATTAAATGCAAGATTTTTTATGTTGTCACTATTTTTTGTCTCAAATAAACCCAGATAATACCTGCAAGCTTCACTCATTCTTTGACTAAATAATAACCATGTTTGCTATTTGATTAAAAGTTATTGATTATAAAATGTAATAATGTTCTACTTAAAAAAACAAAAATGTATTATCATGAACTTGCATATTTGAATAATTGATAACCATTAAGACTAAAATCTGTAACTATTTTTTTAAAAAGTCGTCCAACTTTAAGCAAATATTGGCCTTGATTCCAGTTACTTCATAAATAAATAGGATCTCTAGCTCACCGAAAATTGAGATATCAAGCACGTTAAGAAATCGATATAACACTTAATGCTATACTATAGACTATCGAAGTTAGAAAATTATATTATTGAAAGATCATTGATAAAAAAAGGGGTGGGGAAATCAATGTTTCCCACTCAAGAAGGTCATGATTTATCATCAACCAGAGTCCCACTCCCAAATCATAAATCAATATCCCAATGCAGTGTATAATGATTTAAGAATTAGACTTATAACGTCTAATTTGATCAAGATATCTATTTATAAGTTAGAACTTAGACCTATGGCTGCATGCTTTGGTTTTGGTATTTTTTTGGTAATTGCATTATACAGAATTTAATCATAAATTAGGCTCAAATTATACTAAGCCAATTATCGTGAATGTTATCCCATTTAGTGCTGATTAATATCTTGTCAATTTATTGCTCAACAAAAAAGATAGAATTTGATTATGAACAGAATATATTAAAATCGAAAACATATTCCTTAAGTAGTAAAAAGAGGATAATGATCGTGAGCCACAAAAAGTTTTTGATCAGAACATTTTATAAGTCGGTTTTAATTTATAACCTAGTTTTGTATACTATTTGGTTTTAAGAATTACGTTGTTGATTATATAGGATACCTGCCTAGCCTAGGTCGATCCAGATGAAGTCTGGAACGAGTTAAAGATACTCGTTCCAGATATAGGATACAGTGGCAATCAATACACTTAGTGCTCCCTGTTTAGTTCAAATTATTCTATGTCAACTGAAACAGGATTAAAGATTTAAGCTTAATCGATTTACTTTAGAATCTAAATTTTTATGTCTCTATTTACAGTTGCTTAATTTTAAATAAAGGGGACAAATTAAAGAGTGCACTTTGTAGACAAGTTGTTAGCATATTATGTTCACAATATTGTGTCTCCAGAAGGGGTCATTATTGAATTGTCTACTGCTATCTTCATTCAAAAATGTGTGTGAGCAAACTTACCTAGTTACTTGTCAGTAGCTTTACAGTATGTCCTTTGACTATTCCGAATAGCTAAAAAGTAGCTTTTAAATAGTGATCTGACTGACAATTTAACAAAAAGGTCAAAATAAGAAGTCTAGAAAATTGTTTGGCAGAAAGCTTTCATTTTAAAACTGAATTTGTTAACAAATGCACTGGGTTTTTGTTATCAGATTCATGGTTTTATTGCCAAGAATCTAGCACATGACTTGCTTTTTGGCCATCATTATAATATGCCCCAGTCATGTCAAATCTAATTCCTGGATGTTGCTAAATGTGTTATGCTAAACCGTTATAAAATGTAAAATCATTTGAATTATAAAGAACTTATTGCATATAATGGCCACTAACTTATGATTGAATTTTTTAGCTTTTTATAAATCCGCTATTCTGACAAAAGGACACGTAATATGAGCAGTTTCAACTCTTTGGAGCTATTGTCACAAGCAGCTTCCCTTGTCCAGATGTCAGAGGAGCACGGCAAAAACGGTGAGAATTTAATATTTTAATAGTTGTAAACTATATTTTTATTATTAGGTGATTGTTCATGCCCTCCGATTTCAGAATCATCGTTAACATAAACGTTAATATATACAAAATGACCGTTCAATGGTTTCTGAAAACAGTGAAGGACAAACTATTCAGCGGGCGATGATCTAATATCAAGTTGACTAGATATAAATTTAAGATGCACTTGTAACTCTACTTAACATGATGTCACTAACTTATATTATCACACCGTCGACATGCGTTTTCCTTTTTTGTCACAAGAACATTCACGCCACTCTATATTTAGCCCATTTTCGTTCAGCTTCTACCGCTCACAGTATAATCCCACCATGTACTAACCAGCGCTGACATTTTTCAGGAATGAGCAAGTGTACAATCTGTGGGAACGCCAATAGAACATGCCTCTGCGACAGATTCAAAGGTATGTCCAAAATCCTTTGTGCTTGTTAATTGTTGACGGTTGTAATCCTGTGTTCAACTAATAGGAAAGTACGAGCTGGTGGTGTGAAATGTTTTGTTAAACAACAAGTGCAATGATATCAGGTGATATGCCAATTATACTGTAAAATACCAGTACTCTCAGCCAATATACTACAAACATCTTCAGGTTAGAACTCCAAATGTAACATCCCCTTCTTCAGGTCTCAGTAACCAGAACACCAAATGTATTCAGTCCCAAAACTCTGCTTTCTCTCGCAACATCATCAAGCCAAATCCCATCAAGTACAACATGTGAGTTGTTCTTCTTGTGTTTTCTAGAGATTCCCTAACTTTGTAACCTTCACATGATATTATATATTGTGCTGTCTCTCTCTAGATGTTACCAGTACTTGATTTTGCGTTACATACTCCACAACACACTTAATATGTTAAAGACTGACACATTTACAAAGTGAGTGAACGATAAGATGCTATATCGGATTATCGGGGTAGCAGCATTATGAGTGCTATCAGTATATATATATATATATATATCAGAGGACGACATGCAACATATTATACACATTTGACATTATCATGTCCTGTTGGCAAGGCAGTGTCCGATTTCTCTTCTGCAAATTAGTGTACAGCTCAGGCAAGGAGCACTTTCGAGATATGAAATACACGTGATACTTTCTCTTTTCTAATTACTTTACTACGAGATTTAGCTTAACGCAGTGCACGCGGGGGAGATGATATAGGGTATATTTCTTTATATATTTTATCAAGGGTGGGGATACCCTAGAAGGTCTCTACTCGTGTTGCGCTACACACACCAACTGTATGTAAAATATGTTGAGAATTGCAGGGTGTGTTGTGTGGTATTGCAAATATTTCAAATAAACTACCAGTTATTGGGAGAATTGTCAGAGAATTGCTGCGCCACAGAAACACACACATACCTTGTTCCTTGTAACATGTAACTTTCTGCTATCTCGTGTTAATAATACATAGTACACACACTATCTCTATTCTACACACACTATCTCTATTCTACACACACTATCTCTATTCTACACACACTATCTCTATTCTACACACACTATCTCTATTCTACACACACTATCTCTATTCTACACACACTGTCTCTATTCTACTCACACTATCTCTATTCTACACACACTATCTCTATTCTACACACACTATCTCTATTCTACACACACTATCTCTATTCTACACACACTATCTCTATTCTACACACACTATCTCTATTCTACACACACTATCTCTATTCTACACACACTATCTCTATTCTACACACACTATCTCACACATCCCCTTTTTCAGAACCAACAGAGGACCCTACACAAACACGCCCGGTCAGGATGTGGACGATCACTTCAGGAAATCTCTGGGTTAGTTTCATTGTTAGTTCCATTGTACTATATTTACAACTATTGTACAACTGGACTATTTACAACTGGATCAGTCAGTATATATGTTGCAATCAGTGGTCAGATGTAGAGCGATCATTACCAGTATCTACAAACCCGTGATTTCAGTAGCAGTAGGATAGGTTAAGTAGTTGGAGTATTAGTTTACGTAACAACCTTGTCACTGCATCGCACCGGACTGTAAGTCATGAGTGCTTCATACTAAATAATCTCATCGTCATCAAATATGATACGATAAATTCATTAAGTAATGTGGGATCTTATTAACTTAAACATTAAGTATTACCGGGGCAGCGAACCATTACATTATAACACCGTGCACCACTGTGCTGCATTATTCTGCAGAACTGTCACTAGTCACATTGCTCACAGTGCAAGATCTGTTGACACCGTCGCTAGATTGGTTATGTGAGCTTTTACGGGATAATCCCTGATTAACATCGGCCCCGAGAAAATGAAATGAGATATTTGTAAGAAAGGTACTGGTGTGCGGGGTATCAGCTCATATAATATAGTGAAACACAGTGTGTTGGTATTGGTATTAATTACTGCAGATGGCTTGACTGAGTATGTTTGTGTGTAACGGCTGAAACGTTTAACCATTATCGCGCAATTATGTTAATATGCAAGGGTAATGCGGAAATACTTGAAGGACTCTCACTCTCTCTCTCTCTCCTCTCTCTCTCTCTCTGTCTCGGTGTATTAAAAGTGTTGTAAAATGGGTAAAACTAAAAGCTAAAACTGTGGTGCCCGGAAAATGTATACTAAAAATAGCAACGCGTGTAATAAGTAATTTTAGCCTGGCATTATATTTTTCAATAAGTAATGATCTATAGCTCTCTCTAGCGTCTCAGCCGTGTTAAAATATATCTCAAAAAAGAACATGAATTTAACACCGACGTTTCTCAGGCTCTAAATACGAAGCGCCCCAAAACAGCGACGGTTCCTACACAATCCAGCAACAGAGGAACGCCTCGGTAGAGGACCACTTCACTCGTAGTCTGGGTAAAGGATGGCAGGAGAAACTCCAGATGAAAAGTAAGAGCTAAACAGGATCCCACCTCGCTCTTCTCGTCTAATGTTTATCAGATATTGTGCGGAGAGGTACCGCACACATGATCCAGCACGTGCACGCTCGCGCGCGCGAGACTCACTCGTGCCGTTAGGTGATCAGATAGATTACGCGGTTCAAGATACGCGGTACTTGCGGTCAATTTGCGGTACATGCAGAGGAATTGTGCAGATTACAGACAGAACTATTTTATCGAACTTTCTCGTTAATAATAATTACACTGTTTTATTGTTTGTAATTTATAGCGATTATACTATTATCCGTGTGATGTTGCGGATGTGTTAAATTCGTCGGAAAATTGTATTATGATCTGAGGATATCGGATCCCATGTCTTTGATGAAGGACACGACTGTTGTTAGAGTAAAGAAAACCTACTTCATTGAGTAGAGTACTTCTGGAAAATGATAACTATATTTCTAGGCCGCCACAATATTTCATGACGCTCCTGTGATATACCAACAATTTGAATTTTGTTTCCGGAAACGAAAAATATTTAACTTAATACCAGGTAGCCCAAACACATTACAACTCAATCGCTGATCTCATTCAGTTTCTACTTTTACCAAGATTTCAGGCCCAATTAATATAACCTGTACGTTATTGTACACTGTTCTCCCGGGCTTACACGGAATACTTTGTGGGGGAGTCATCATTTTAACCGCTCCATTTGGAGCACCCACGTTAAGTCAGGTACATTGTCCTGAGTGATCAGCACACCATAGAAGAGCACATAATAGAGAGTGAGAGTAGCAGTGGGTACTCACACCAATACTATTATATGGGGGAGTTGACGGCAGGCTAATGCCCTCTCTTTCTGTCTCTCTCCGCAAACCCGATTATCTCTTTTCCGTGCCCGTCATCAAATGAGCCCCCCACGCTAAAACGATTGTTCACAGGGTAGTTCACGTGTAGTGATGATGGTGAAACTGCCTGGTGGCTGTAGGCGCTTTGAATCATTACCCCGTCATGCGGCTAAGCTGCTTATCACACCACTCTGCGCTCAGTAAAACGAGCAGCTATATTGGGTATTATTACACGTAGTGTTACCCTCCTCTCTCTCTCTCTCTGAGCTGATAACCCGATTGTAGACTCCAGGAGGAGGGGAGAGAACGTTGGTGAATATCCTCTCTACCACACTCCCTCCTAACGATGAGGTGACTGCTTCTCGGACCCCTCCCTTCGCCCCCACGTACTGTATCCGATCTTATTGGCTCCGTATCTATAATAGATACTCCACCTGATATAACTGTATCGATTACTCCTTCATCACAATTGTCCCCGTGCTGAGTGCAGTCAGTTCTATATTTAGAGTATGATTCACGGCTGTAGTAGAGGTTGAAAATAGAACATTAGAACGGAGAGCGCGTGCAGCAGTCTGGATGATCCTTCCCTCCTAAGAATCAAAAGTCTTCTTGTCCCCAGTATTTTGTATCATGGGATGATCAGCAATTCATTTTTTTTCTCCGGAACAACAATTTTATAGAAAGTTAATTACCGGAGGTTAGCCTTTTATTTCTCCGGAACTAAATTATATGTAAAGTTAACTACAGGGAGCGTTGTGACGTAGGGCGGGTATTATTCGCGGTTGAGATCGTGGTAACAGAAATCTCGAGAGATTTTTATGGATACTTGATGAGTGAGAGCTATTTAATTGCAGTAAACGAGTCAATGAACGAGGGTGCAATATTATATCCAGTCCCTTGCAATGTAACGAATGTAACCTGATTAAATTAATTTAATCGATTCTAAAATAGATATTTGTTTTATCGGGTTAAAGTTTTCACGCCAAGGTCCGGCAATGAATTTAAGGAAATGGAATGTCGTAATAATTGTGAAGACCCGTTTTTATTTTCTTTACTGTTTTATCTTAATTTGAAGATGCGTACCAATGGCTAATTATCATCCAATTTTTTTACGAAAGATTGTAATTTTATGAATATGATTGTTTAATTTTGTCTAGAATCATCAAACAAATTAACACCATGCCATTACATAATTGAGAGGTATTCAAATTTCAAAAGTATCCTTATTTACAGCCCAAAATTCAACCAACCACTAGACTGCCTAATCAACCCTTTGATATATAAAACTTAGAATCTGAAAAATTTATGGAATTAATTCCAGCATTCTACAACATTCTATAACTATTATCTGTCGATGCAAGACGTAAGAAAACATGACCTGCTTTTCCTCTGAATATAATAATATTGTGCGCATTTCAATATAAAGGAAGCACCCTGAAGTTGCACTAACAATTGTTGGTATGCGAATCTGTAAATTGTAAGAATGTAAAAAATGTCCCTGGTGCTTTTCTAGTGAACGTGCGTTGAGACCATCGCACAAAGCTCTCTCTCTCTCTCTCTCTCTCTCTCTCTCTCTCTCTCTCTCTCTCTCTCTCTCTCTCTCTCTCTCTCTCTCTCTCTCTCTCTCTCTCTCTCTCTCTCTCTCTCTCTCTCTCTCTCTCTCTCTCTCTCTCTCTCTCTCACTCTCTCTCTCTCTCTGATCTCTCTCTCTCTCTCACTCTCTCTCTGATCTCTCTCTCTCTCTCTCTCTCTCTCTCTCTCTCTCTCTCTCTCTCTCTCTCTCTCTCTCTCTCTCTCTCTCTCTCTCTCTCTCTCTCTCTCTCTCTCTCTCTGCTTATCAAATATGTTACTTCACATTTCGTGATAACAATGGTTTGTTCTCACAAAAACAAGCAGCAGCCTCACCTGTGTAAACTAGCTATGATAGAATGCAATAACATTGGTTACTGTTCACTGAGTTTAACATAACTGGTCTACTTGACATGTGTACTGTTGTCCGGCTAGTTACATGTCATGCTGCGCATTCCGGACTACAGCTCACATTCCAAACATCTCTTCAAATTAACGTACAACAATGCCTTCCCCTCAACTACCACCCAAGTTTCATGCCAATAAGAATTCCAGCTAACAGATGTCTTTTGTTGGTCAACATTCCAGGAGGGAGGTTTCCAGTGAGGAGCTGTTAAATACCAAGCAAACCACATGTCTTTCGAGATTCGCTTTCCTTGTCATGAGTGGTATTTTAAGCATTTGTAAGAGGAATCCAAATTCCGAGCTGTTATAACATCAGCTAAATATATAGCACCTAATCAGCGCCACAATCCCATCATTCCTATCATTGTTTCTCCAACTTCCGCATCTCAGAGCAGCACAATTGACAAGATTCTTTTTCTCTCTCTCTCAAATTAGCGGGTTTCAGTGTTGGTATCCGGCACGGAATACAGAATATTCTAATAAAACGTTAGAAGGCAGGGCAGGTATACCGTATTGTATGGCACAGATTAACTGAAGGCTAGTCTAGTCTGGTCTAGTACCGACATCGCACTACCCCGTGAATATGCCCGACTGGTACTCGGTTACTAGAATTGCGGTAGATTATTTTCTCGATTAAATTATCTGAATTGACAAATAATTATCGGGATAAAAGAGCTTGACTTCCCCGTTACCACATTCGTCCGAATGAGCCCAACTTTTCCGCCGGAATGAATTATGAAACTAGACATAAGTTCCGTTTTACAACAGGAAAGTGGTATTTTCTGAAAATTTCATGTACCATCTTCTTTTAATGTGCATCTTTGTTGGACAGCCGTGGGTAAACGATTCATATCTACTTTTAGGAGTAACTGTTTTCCCGACAAATCCCGATAATTTGCGATAATGTTCGGGTCTTGGGTCTGCTTCGTTTCTCGACCAACCTATTTCCAGACTATACCATCCGAAATTAGATTTCTAGAGCGTTATCATCCTATCGTTGAAATGAGGATGATGACATGAAATATCGTGCCAGTCCGCAGTTCAAGCACTGACCAATGTGATTATCTATGACAAGTCTGCTGAGTGAGATCGTTTGAAGCACAGTGAGCTCCTAAACCAGGGGACCAGCGCATAGAAACCAGAGTCTGAAACTGCTACCCCCACCAAGCAGACCAACTTCTCACACTTTCTACACATTTACCGGGCGAAATTTTGATCATCTTATTTGTCATCTAAATTACTTTTTTGTATGTGGGTGGAGAATCACGGAGGCATGAAATGAATTTTCATCGAATAAAATTATTACAAAAAAAAACAACTACTCACTAGAATAGGGTAGAGAGTGAGGGACCAGGCGTTGCTGGGGTAACAACTCATTAGAATGGGGTAGAGAGTGAGGTACTAGGGGTTGCTGGAGTAACAACTCACTAGAGTGGGGTAGAGAGTGAGGGACCAGGGGTTGCTGGGGTAACAACTCACTAGAGTGGGGTAGAGAGTGAGGTACTAGGGGTTGCTGGGGTAACAACTCACTAGAGTGGGGTAGAGAGTGAGGGACCAGGGGTTGCTGGGGTAACAACTCACTAGAGTGGGGTAGAGAGTGAGGGACCAGGGGTTGCTGGGGTAACAACTCACTAGAGTGGGGTAGAGAGTGAGGGACCAGGGATTGCTGGGGTAACAACTCACTAGAGTGGGGTAGAGAGTGAGGGACCAGGGGTTGCTGGAGCAACAATCCACTTCAGTCGGAGACTGGGGTTGCTAGGACAGCAGCTACCGGAGATTCAATCCACGACGATCTCACCTTATCTCCATAAAATTTATCGAATTAATATTACAAGTACCCGTTACCGTGTTTACCTAAGTAATATTACCGCCGCAAGACCCTGTTTAATCTGATCCGTCGGTTGTCTCGATACTTCCAGAAGCTTGCAAATCTAATCGATTTATTCTCTAAATAAACATTTGGTATTATCAAAATTAAATGGGGTTTATGTGTTGTGCATGTGAAGCTGGTGAATTAATACTTAAATTCTGCACAGCTCTGGATGAGGTATCACTGAAGTAAACGTGTGTTGTAGCCAACCAATTTGGTGTATCATCATTCATCAGCACTTAATTAATAAAGATGGGGAAGGGGGGACCACTATTATAGCCAGCTTATCGATAAAATATTCGATTGAAAAGGATGGAACTTATATAGTTTGATAATGAGAACATACTATTACTAAAGTAGGATAATCTCAGTTTTTAATGGTCCTTTAAGACTTCCTTTCAGTTTCACTCATTCAAGACGTGAAGTAAGTAAAATCTGGCGGATCACTTCTTTCGCCGTCTTACCACCCCCCCCCCCGGGGCCCCGCGTCTATGCATGTGAATTTTGTATCGATGAACATAAAAGAATTAAGATCATAGCTATTTCGTGTACCAGACAGATTGTCATCACATTTCCTCTGACGCTCATGATTGGTGACACGGACATTTTAAAGTAAATCGTTTAGAAGAAAATAGATTACCCCACGCATCTTGTGGGAAAGTTGAACAGCTAATATGATGGATTTGTCTGGAAAGTCTAGAGTACCATTTACCTTTCCTAGAACTTTATTAAATATAAGCTCTCGCACACCGTTCTCCAGATAATTAGTTTGAAAATGGTGAAGTGGTACTTCCACTGCTGTGTTTGTAGATAAGTAGGCAGTTTCTGGATACTTTTTGAGCATTACGTATATCTACGAGTATGTCCTGATCGGTGTAAAAATAGAAAGCAAAAGATAGTAACCCGATACGAATGCAAAACCTGCAAAACGACCAAAATCAGAATATTATTCTTGAGTTTCATGACGTCAAGTAGTCTGAGCGATACTGAAAGTTAATTATTTTTAGTACTCCCAAGTTCAAGGAACTGCCCTGATCTTCTTTTCTCGTGAGAATTTCTCCAAATCTTGGGTTAAGTAGAGTAGGGCCCTTACCAAGTTTATCTGACCGATCAGCCCTGAAGATGAATGGTGTAAAAATAGTATAATATACCTCTCTTTTCTCTAGAAGTTCTATTACTAATTATTACCTTAGTGCAAGAAATATAGGCGGCAAGAAATTAAGGCGATTCTGACAAAATCGCCTTAATTTCTTGCCGCCTTAATATCTGACCACCGTAATTTCTAACCGCCTTAATTTTTTTTCTTGCGATTTTTTCATAAGAAATTTTCGTGTGATTTTATTATTTTAAATTTACATGTCGATTTCGTTATTTGCTAGAATTCAATGAAATACATATTTAAAATAAATTAACTTGAGTCTAAATACATTAATATATCAATTAATATTCTCGTCTTCTCCTTCTTCATCAGAGTCATATATCTCCAGCAGCTGCAATCCATAACCAAGATAGTCGTCGTCATCTTGCTCCGTCGTGTCTGGAAATAGCTTCTTGATAATATCAGCTGATTCATCCTCCAAACGTTTGTCGAAGCTGTACTTTGTCAGTTCAAATTCGAATGTTCGTACAATTTTACATTTCATTTTTAAGCTTTAAATCGAGTTTTAATTTTAAAAAGAAATAATTTTTAATTTTAATGATGATATGTAGTATACATACATAAAAATTCCTTGCCGCGTACAGAATGTGCACTATCATTTTGTCAAATGCAATGAATATACCAATTGACTTGCAGTTTGCTGATGTAGTGGATGTCTACCTAATTTAAAATTATAAACTTAGACGACAGAACAGCAATCACTATAAATATAATGTGCATGCACCATTTAGTTTTTATGTGACCAATGTCCAATATATCGTATTTTTAAACAGATTTCTATGCTTTATAGACTGATAAAAGAATAAAATTGACACTATTTCGACCAAAACTATAACCAAATTTGCGATCAAAAATCGTATTTTTTCCGAAAAAAATATCGCCTTAATTTCTTGCCGCCTTAATTTCTAGCGCCTTATATTCTTGCCGCCTATATTTCTTGCACTAAGGTACCCTCTGTCTCGGGCTGATCGGTACCTGATAATTCTACTTTGGGCAACTTCCAAGTAGCGAGTAATTCTGGAGTCACGTCAAAACTCAATCAGTAGCGCCCAGAAGTATGTAGTAACCCATGTCCCATAAGTAATATAATCAGTTTATCAGGTGGGGCTAGGCTACTGCAAGGGTAATTGA